TGGACATGTAGCTGAAGGGAACAGGTGATGTTAGGCAAGTTTGCTGCTAAAGACAGAAATACAGAAGGACACAATAGTAGGTTTTAGCATGGAAAGAAGAGGAAGAGAGGAAGGTGCAGATGGACTACATCATATACACGAGGTGCAAGAGAGAGAAGACTGGAAGCTAGCAGCAGGGAGAACGTAGCCAGGCAGCTTCAGGTGAAAGCCGTGGTGGAAGTAGACTGTTGGACAGAGTTCAGGAAGACGTTGAGACAGGCACTGGGGGAAAAGTTACCAGATGACTGGCATCGTTGTAGTGCTAAACTAGCAAGAAGTTGTTCAGTGTATCCTCTGGACCGAGGACAGAAGAAAAGTGTCACGATCTATACCAGATATACCAGTGACTAAAGATGAGGCTTCTGTGCGCTCTGGAGTTTTCATGATGTGCAACAATGTCTGAAAACACAAAGACCAACTCCACTGGCTCCAATGCGTTTGTGGGACATGTGTGCCCTGTTCCTGCCCTTTCCTGTGCTACTCCATGTTCTGCTCTGCAGCATCAAAATACCAGTCATTTGTTGTGATTCGATGTAAAAGTTAAATCGGGGAAGAACTACAGGATAGAACAACGTTTCGGCATGTATACATGGTCAAGCAAACCACCTGCACCAACTGATTCTGATAAGTCCTGGTATTCCTAATGCTTTCCTGTTCTTAGAGGGACTATCGCAGCCACATTACCAACATGATACACGCTTTTTTCAGCACAAACAGCTTTGAATTGCATGTTGCAAATCATGCCTGCATGACTCATTTAAGTACTCCTTTTGTTCTAACTTCATGCGCGCGTCTCTGACTTTCTGCAGCTGAATCTGGACAGTCGTGCTTAAATGCTAAAAGGAAGTTTAGTGGTGTCAGAAACAATAAATTGGGCTCAAATGTTGTTGCTTCATGCTAGTTAAGGATAAAACTCTTGATTCGATCCTTTCAGAGGCTGTGATGTCTGTGAAGCTTCATCCAGGTCATCCAAGCTCCTTAGAGGCCATAAAACACACCATAAATGAAGCCCTGCGATGTGTGGGATATAAAACTGTGTCACTGCACAGTAGGTGTGTACCTCACATCTGCACACCATCTTATCTGTCTGACATATGCCTGTGGTTAGCACCAACCTCCTGACTGGTTCAGTGTGGACGAGAGCAGCGTCTGTCATGACCTTCATCCAGGACTCCATCTCTTTGGCTGTGTCAGTGCAGAAGTAATACGTCCGCATGTTGGGGTGCGTGGCCTGAAGACAGAGGGAGAGCCATAATAAGATAAGACAGAAGTGCGAGAACCAAATCTGGATTTTATCACAAGTATCACACTGAACTGCCCAACACACAACTTTCTATGTGTACAAGTATACACACAT